TTTTTTTTAATGTAAAATTTCTTAGAGAGCAATCTTTTAAGGTTCACTGTTTTTCTGACATTTTATTCAAATAAGCTCAAGCAGACAGCGAAAGTGTTTGTGCCTATTGGGCAAAAATTAGCAAAATGAAAGGTCATTTTTTTATTCAAACGATAGTTTTTTTCCATAGTTTTGTGTTCAACCAATCTTTTGGTTAAACCAACCAATATACTTTGGCAGCGTTTTTACCCAAACTATATTTATACAAGGGCAAATGAATACAAAGTAGTCAAATTAGCCAAAATACTTCATAAGTATTATCACAACTTTCAAAACTCTAAAATGGGAAACTACACACTGGAAAGCAATACTATTTAACAGTAATGTTACAGCTGTAACCAGTGCTTTGCTCAGATTTTGATCATTACATTGTTTATTCTTACCAAAATAGTTTTAACCAACTAGATTGGTTGTTTTTCCAGCCAATCCATTCTTAGAATCTATCCAAACTCTATCCAGCTGACTGCAACTCTCCTACAAACTCCCACATCTTCACTGAACACTGAGGAGGTTTAAGTGGATTTTGAAGTTCCGGGCGAGCTGAACCACTCCCCTAAGCGGTCACATGGTATGGCGGGGTACGAGGCTTCGGACGTCATCCATTTTGGCTCCTCCCCCAAATGAAGCAAGTTTCGATATGCTGTTCGCGGAAACGCACCGTCCTTTACTCGACACACGAAGCCTCGGCTCATCTCGTAACATCACTACACGTAGACCAGTCCTCTTTTTACGTTTAGAAGACAAACTACGATCAGTTCGCACACAAAAATATGCTAAGCTTACTTTAACATAGCTAAAAATAATTACATTTATTTTGGTTGATTTTTTGAACTCATACCTTTAACGCTTATTAGATTGTTGGCTGGAACATTGAACATCTGAACTTTTCCTCCAATGAACTATAATACAGTCCATTGTGATTTGTGATCAGTAGCTGGTTGAATGAAACCTCCTCAATAACTGTTGCTGATGTCCATCCATTCCGTGTTAGTCCAGTTAGCACATGCGTTAAACTTCTGGACTCGTCTTTAAGTTCGACTGGTGCATTTGATATAGGGAGGGTGGAGAGTCTAATTGCACCGAGCTCTGATCCCGAAAGCAGCGGTTTCCTCCAGCATCTCAAAGATTCCTCTTCCAACCAGAACGCATCGATCATCAGCACTAGGTTTATCACACCAGATCCACCTGCTGCTAAAACTAGCATAATCTGTGGCGCCACTACACAATAAGAATAATTGTCTTGATGCCAAAAACAGAGCCCAATGGATTTTTGCTTTCACAAGTGGAGCAGTACAGCTATCGCCATAGTGTTCTGTTTGATTTATGCATATAAATAGCTTTATTATAATTCATGCAGGGAGTTTTACAGATTATATGGACATTGCAACGTAAGTACAACTGGAAAAACACACAAAAAAGAGAAAAGATGAAAGAAAATTCTGTTCTCTGTTGTAAACACCCTGTGAGATGCCAATCAGTGACGGAGAAAGGTCAGGGGAGGCTTTGCTATGAACCAGTAATGAAGAATGATAATGAATAGGTTAACTCAAAAAACGGCGATCTGACTCAAAATGAAAACTGCCCAATCTGGCAACGCTTCTAGGGATTAGAGGTTTAATCCAGTTTATCGCTCCGTTGATTGTATTGCAACTCAATTATTTCTCTACAATAGACTGTTTTTTGATGCTTCCGAGTATTTTTCTTGTGTGCTTCTAAAACTAATATCCATTAAATGATGTCATTCCTTAAAGGACGTTTGCTCGTGTTTCAGTTTCTCAGTCAACCTGTGCAACAGCCAAACAGAGAATGTTGCTCTCCATCTGAACCCCCGGATGAAGTCGGGGGTCTTCATCAGGAATTCGTACCTGGACGGATCCTGGGGTCAGGAGGAGCGGGAGCTGCCCTTCTTTCCCTTTTCAGCGGGTGAATACTTTGAGGTAGGAGCAACAAGTTAAGTTTTCCCTGCTGTTCTTATCTTTAACCCAAGAGCTACAGTCAGTCACATGAAATGGAACTGACAAAGAATATAAGAAGATCAGAGCTGCGTTCAGAAAAACCATCTGTATATAATCTTTCTCCAGATCCTCCTCCTCTGTCAGCCCCACCAGTTTAAGCTGGCGGTCAACGGCTCCCACTTGTTGGAGTTTAGGCACCGGATGCAGGACCTGAGCAGCATCGACCAGCTGGAGATTATGGGAGACCTGGAGCTCAGTGATGTGAAGCTGTGGTGATAACATTATGCTCTGGTTGGCTGGAACTCGGTTAGCTTCCGGTTACCCTGAACATGGAGGCTGCTTCCAGCCTCAACTAATCTGGCGCCGTGACGGCAGTCAGTGGGTTTAGTCTTCATGGTCCTTAATGGACACAATCTATTTTTTTTTTTCCCTTTCTTGTTCTCTGAATCTGAGCCGTTTTCCAGGCTTTTCATGTAAAACAGGGAAAAATGTAAATTTAAGCACTTAACTCGACTTTGCTTATAATATTAATTATACGCAAGTCTTAAAATGAAGCAATGTTGAACATTAACAAACATCTGTTCAACTGAAAGAGCCGATCTCTTTTTTTGCACCATTAATGTGCATGATTGTATTTTACATTTCATATCAGTATTATATCAGAAATATGTATTTTCTAACTTATAAAAGGTCTGTAACCTTAAACTTTTTAAATCATGTTTTTCCTCCAATTCCTGGTCATCTGAAGGTTCAGCAGATATTGAATCATGTCTTAAGGTGTAAATATTCCATACCCTCACAAATATCTGCAGTCAAAATATAAAGATTTAATAATTCTATGTACTGCGTTCTGTAGTAGCTCTCTATTCATGTTTTGATAAATAAAAGATGAATGTCTCACTAAGATTTTGTAGACCTTCTTGGTTTTGATTTCAAACAAAAAAAAACAAGATTTTCTTTGATTGTTTTCGTTTTCTAATAAACATCTTCCCCGTATCTGCTTGTTAAATACTATACTGCAGTTTATTGTTTACTACCTTATTTTTTCAATTTTCAAACCTCATTAGTAGAGATGTACGCTCTATTTTTAATTCCCTACAAATCAGATGAAAGTTAGGATGAATGGAAGGAAGAAACCGAAGGACGCACAGAAGGAAATGAGGAAAGGAAACGATTGATTGAAAAGCATCGACTTTAGGCAACATTTTAAGACTTCTGTCCTTTTTGTTTAAAATATCAATATGAATTAAGATCAGGCTTTAAATACTGAATACAGAAATTAGGTGATTTTCTGGATATCCTGTTTAAATTTGGCCTTGATTCTTTTCACAAAGGCAGTGCCAATTAATTTACCACAGTGATTTATGCTGCACAGCTAACCTGCTCCAGACCAGGCTTAGTTAATCCAGACGCCTCATCAGTTCAGTTCTTCAGTTGGTTTAACATCACGGTAGCCTGTAGCTTTACGAATTCTGTAATTTGCTGTCGATATTGTTACTGTTTGATGTTTTTGTAAACTGCTGTTGCTTTAAGTTCCGCCTTTAATAGACTATTGTTGTGTTGAAGGGATTAGAGAAAAGGCTGATAAGGAAGCAGGGATGTTAGGCGCAGCGGTAGAGGGTCGACCCATATGCAGTGACTCTTCCAGTCTGAGTCCTGGCCTGGTGACCTTCGCCGCTCCTCTTCCTCCTCTCTCCAATCCCGTTTCCCGTCTTCCTACTTTCAAAAAATACAAAAATAAAGCCAACTGCAGCCTAAAAATGAAAGCAAGGATGCTGTTCTCAAAATCGGGCCATACAAGTCACCCAAAATGCATCTTCCTCTGAAATGGCCTGACTATTTTAACTGCTCCCCACAGTTGCCTGGATGATAAGTTTAATGCATTTCTATGGAGAACATCTGCTACCTTTGCAAACAGCTGGGTTCTAAAATACAGCACCACAGAGTCTAACCGTTATACAAATGATCTGTGTGGAGCTCCAGCTTTTCCCTGCTGGTTTGTTACTGTATGCAGAAAGAGATGCTGGAAATCTTAGCAAGTATTTGTTGAAGGATCAGAAAAGCACATTTGGCATCAAAAGATCAATACGCACATCTTCATAACCTTCCTCAACCACAGAGGAATGAACTGCATAAGCAGGGACTCTACAGTATTGCAGGTAGTATGGATTAGGCTACACGGAATTAAAGAAAGAAAAATTGGACAACTTTTTAAAAATGTTTGATAAAGGATTCCTTAATGTTACTGGATGGCACACATTAAGACATAACGCCATGAAGGAGATTTTGTTTAACATTCAGGTCAGAGTGGGTTATAGTTAGGCCTACTGTCTAAGATGTTTTGCTTAAGGATGCTCACTGCATCCTCAGCAACAATCCTTCCCTGGATCCCTTCTAGAACAGACCAAGCTTTTTTTTTTTTTTTTTATATCTAGGATATATTTAAGATCATCAAATATGTATGAAGACTCCAAGTCATTTGCACATTAAAATCAACATCCATCCATTTTCCGCTATCCCAGGTCGTCAGACCATCGCAGACATTCAAATCAGAATTTTATATTTAATTTATAGATCATTTAAGCAATGGATATCAGCTTGTCCCTTTCTAAGTTTCCATGCCATATGAATCTTTATATATATTAAGGATTTGATCCGGTCCCCATTTTAAGTTAAAAACCGGACACAAAAAAGTTATTAAAATCTACTTTCTTACAAAATTGGCTTCCACTGTTTATTTTTAAGGTACAAATAGTTCATAAAAAGTGACTAACTATTTAAGTTTCTGCTTTAAGTTGAGATAATTAGGAGGAAAAGCATTTAGTGGATACAAACTCAGCTCTTACCTGCAGTACTTCTGTTAAACCACAGTGAGGCAGCAGAGAGTAAATAATGCAGCTCACCAAGCATTGCCACATCTTGGTGTTTTAAAGTTTACAGAAAACTTTAAAGACACCTGCAAGCATCAAGGAGAGATCTATGGAGAGATTTATATGCACAACGACGTGGTAAAAAGTGTTTTATTAACATCCACAGGAAATATAATTTGTAAGAGTTGTAACTATGGTACAGTACAACAGTCTCTGATTTCTTTAACATAGAAATAGCAGAATGATATGCAACATATTGACAAACCATCACAATGCTGAGAATAAAGGCAGGAGACGCGGTCTGATCAGCAACAGGCAAGTCGGTTTAATCTGTTTCTCAAAAGGCCGGTTTGATCCAGTGGCAGAAATGCAGCTCTCTGACCTGAAGTTTTAAAACTTTTCTTTAGTTTTTGCTCGACATGGCTTACGGACATAGATACCACACTTTGAAATGCAAACTCCAGTTTGCAGATCACCAAGTTAAAGTTGCTTAATCTTCCCTTGAAGTAGAAAAAAACCCTATCAGCTTATTGGGCTGTGATACGTGAACCGTAACTCGTCTCTTGCAGCAACATCATGGCAACAGGTTTCCCTTCAGTTCAGTTAGGTTCCAGTTTCTAGCAGCTGGAGTCTGTATTGAAGGGGGTAGTCAATCAAAAACAAATGAGCTCAGGAGAGTTTAAAGTCTCCAGAAGGTGTTGGGTTTGTATCCGCCGCTGTCAGACAGAGCTAAGCTTTACCAGCCCCCTCACTGAGTCCTCATGGAGCGAGTCCTGGCTGGCAGGGTTGTAGAAGCCAGCCTGCACAGTGTGGCTGTGTCCCAGCGGGCTGCCGCAGTGAAGCATACCAGGTGGTGAGGGCACCTCCTCTGGGGTGAGATAGTGGTGGTGGGGCGCCTGCTCCTGCAGGGGGTAGGTGTGGTTTAGTGTGTGTCCGTGGATTGGCAGCACGTCGGCAGCCTCTTGGCAGCTTAGGCTGGGGGTGGATGTAGGCGGGGTAGGCTGGCCGAGGGGGAACGTAGAGCAGGGGCCGCCCAGGGTGAGGGAGGCGCGTGCGGGCAGAGACGTCCCGTTCTCAGTGGAAGATGTTATGATGACCGGCTCGCTGGTCTGCTGCTGGAGGAGGGGGGTGGCTGCCGCCTGCAAAACGAATTTGGTGCTCTGAATGCATTGGTCTTGATCACACTGAGGACAAACAACAACAAAATGCAAGAGGGGAGGGAGGGGGGAGGTAATTGGATGAGAGGGAGGAAGAGAGAGAAATGTTAGTAGCATTGTTAGAAACGCAGAGAACAAAGAGAACCTGATTAACCAACCTTATTAAATCAGTGAATTAAACACAGAAACTCGGAGTAAATTAGTCTTTAAAACTTGGGAACCGGGTTAGGACTTGGTCCCTTATTTCAGCTACAGACAGATTTGCTTCAACCCAGAAAACCAGTCATCACCAGAGTGTGATGACTGAACAAAGTCATCAATAAGAAGGATGAAAACCTCTTTCACTTCCCAAACACCTTCTGACTAAAACAGCAACAACATCTCACCTGTGTCTTAACAGCACTGACCTAAAAAAGAGCAGATGACACCAGTGACTCAAACATAACTTGACCAACATAAAAAAAAAAGATAATTTATGTTAAAACCTATGACCGAGTATTAGAGCAAGCCTGGAGATTTTTCTATTTCCAGAATAAAGTCGTAACATGAGAATAAAGTTACAACAAGAATAATCATAAGATTAAGAGAATCAAGTCGTAAAATTAAGAAAAGTCATAAAATTAAGAGCATAAAGTCATAATATGAGAATAAAGTTGCAAGAAGAATAGTATAAAATTACAAGAATAAAGTCGTAACATTATGAGAATAAAGTCATAAAATTATGAGAACAAAGTGGCAACGGGAATAAAGTCATAAATTAAGAGAATAAAGTCATAAATTAAGAGAATAAAGCCATAAAATTATGAGAACAAAGTGGCAACGTGAATAAAGCCATAAATTAAGAAAATAAAGTCATAAATTTATGAGAACAAAGTGGCAACGGGAATTAAGTCATAAAATTAAGAGAATAAAGTCATAAATTAAGAGAATAAAGTAATAAAATTAAGAGAACAAAGTGGCAACGAGAATAAATTCATAAAATTAAGAGAATAAAGTGGCAACGAGAATTAAGTCATAAAATTAAGAGAATAAAGTCATAAATTAAGAGAATAAAGTATTAACATTATGAGAATAAAGTCATAAATTAAGAGAATAAAGTCGTAACATTATGAGAATAAAGTCATAAATTAAGAGAATAAAGTCATAACATTATGAGAATAAAGTCATAAAATTATGAGAACAAAGTGGCAACGAGAATTAAGTCATAAAATTAAGAGAATAAAGTCATAAATTAAGAGAATAAAGTCATAACATTATGAGAATAAAGTCATAAAATTATGAGAACAAAGTGGCAACGGGAATTAAGTCATAAAATTAAGAGAATAAAGTAATAAATTAAGAGAATAAAGTCATAAATTAAGAGAATAAAGTCATAAAATTAAGAGAACAAAGTGGCAACGAGAATAAAGTCATAAAATTAAGAGAATAAAGTGGCAACGAGAATAAAGCCATAAATTAAGAGAATAAAGTCATAAATTAAGAGAATAAAGTCGTAACATTATGAGAATAAAGTCATAAAATTATGAGAACAAAGTGGCAACGAGAATTAAGTCATAAAATTAAGAGAATAAAGTCATAAAATTAAGAGAATAAAGTCTTAAAATAACAAGAATAAAGTCATATTTTATGACAAAACTTACAAAAAGCACTTTCTTCCCTAAAACGAGGAATGTCGAGCATCATGTGAAGTTACACTTTGGCAACGGTTTGACAAATAAGGAAATTTTAGCACAGCAGCATCAAATATGGCAGAATGCCAAAGTGGACGACTTCATTCTCATAATAAGAAAAATCTCTAGCCTGGCCCCAATACTACGTCGTACAAACCAGCCTCATCAGCAAAGAACTACATTTATCAGGTTGTCATGTTACAACCAAACACCTCGGTTACCGGTGCCTCTGCACCCTTTGGTAGAAGGTTAAAAACAAACAGCATGCAGAGGTCAGTTTTACTTTCTTTAGCAACAATCGTAACAACGTCTATCCGCAATTTCCATCGGAATAAATCAACAGAACAATCAGAAAGAAGAATAAACAGAAGAGCCTGAAAGCGCCGCTGATGCAGAACAAGGGATGTTTTGCTTTGCTAACATTGCAGCCATGATGGCACAACAAAACATCTATATTTAAGAACTTAAGCTTCTATTTCGGGTTCTACTCCCCCCCTTCGCCTTCGCTTTGTTTCCATCAGTTTAACCCAGCAACCTTGGAGAACAGCACTGCAATGCAAGGCTACAACATGTAAACAATTTGTTAGCTTATTTTTTGGACTTAGTCATTTGTTGCTTCAGTTGAATATTCTGTTTACCTGCAGGAATTCTGACATAGATGCTAGCTGCCCTGGTCGCCACTTAAGGGCAATGGATGAGAAGAGAATCAAAGCAGCTTATCGTAAATATTTTAATTCTGAAAACGATTATTCATTAAATCCATAATTGAATAAGACTAATAGCAGAAGTGCTGTCACTACCCCATCCGTCCCGGAAGCACGATCCGTCCTGCGCGAAGAGAATAACTCCTGCGTAGGCAATACTTTGTTTTTCTTACTTTTTTATTCTTTTGTGTTTTTCGGGCAGCGGGTTCCTTTACCATATTATTGAATTTGTGTGAATATTGCATTTTCTAAAAAAAAAAAAAAAAAGGCCTTGCGGGGGCCAGGGCAGAGAGCATCTCAGCAGCACTGCCACTTCTGTTCCCTTCGAAGGATTATTCTCCCTGGCAGTTAATATAGTTCATAAGAAGAGGGCTTGAGCTCCAGAAATGTCAACAGGCTAGTATGTCTCAGCAACTGGCTGAAAGAGAAGAAGTAATAAGTTAAATGTATCCTAAGGGCCAGTTGGGCAGTTATTTATCAAATGGGAAGAATTGGAGGTCAATCACTGTCACTTTGTTAGTGGATCACTTTAGTTGGACTGAATTTGACTTCATTTCTGTCTGATCTTTTTGCCAACATTTAAACTGTTGATAAATCAACGAAGTGTTTTTAAGCCTCAGAGGCTTTTTGTCCTGAATGTACTTGAAAATGTTGCGTTTAAAAAAGCAGTGTTATAGTCTAACAGAATTTCAGAGATTGGCTTTCCTATATATATATATATATATATATATATATATATGAAATAAACAAACAATATCCGTGTGGAAAAAGTTACTTCTCTCTGTTTCCAAGTCAGGTATTTATATGCGATTAAAATGCGATTAATTTCAATTAATTATTTTCACAGCCATGTGATTAATGCAATTAAAAAATTTTATTTAGTCCCACCCCTATTTAAAATGTTATATCTCATAACGATTAAGGGTGAAGCCTAAAACCTCCTCTCAGCTATTCTCGATGGGAGATAAAAATTTTCTGGAGTCTGGCCTGAATTAACTGAGCGATTCTAATAAGAAAGAAAGAATTCATGTAACTGAAGAAAGTAAACTGGGCGTAGACACGAAAAAAAAGGTCTGTGGTTTAACAATTCTCATGGTGCAACAATCAAGAAGGAAACCGTGGTTGACACTTTGGTAGAGAGAGGAAGAGGAAGAGGAAAGAAGGAGGGTTTAAACTGTATCACGACATAAAACGGCAAGTTTCATCTCCTCTAACTCTGAGAGAGCAGATCTATAGATCTGATCTAATAAGAGGCTGGAATCGATGTTAAGAAGAACATTACCCCTACTACAATCCCAAACACAGAGGTTTGTTATCAAGGTGTGACGTGCCTTCAAATGATCCATTGTTACCATAGCAACAGCTTAAAAGGCCTCTGCATGGCAGACTGTCAGGTTTCTAAGCACAAGGAAGCAGGGCTTTCATCAGGAAACAAATGGAAGCCTCTCGAAGCATTCAAATCAAACTTAACGTGCAACAATAAAGCAAGTCAAGGATTGTGCTTAGGTCGCTTGTTCACGACAATGCCTGTGCGTTACGTCACAGAAGAGGAGGGTGGTCTCCGAGACTGATAGGAACTCCAGCAATGTGACGCGTGTCTTAGAGCGGGAACAGCTACAGCACACAGATGGCCGTTATTTCGGGATGTGTTAACGGAGGGGAATGCTCCTTCAGCTTGCAGCACAGCAGAGAGTGACGGCTTCAGGACATTCAGACGGATTCACTAGAGAAGGGCGATGAGGTCAAGACTGGGTGAGAACAAGTAGGAGGACTGTGCTACATGGGGACCAGTGAAAATGAAGTGAGAAGGCCTTAAACGGAGCATGCAATGTGTGAGGTAAACACTGAACAAAAGCAGACGGGCTGCCTCAGAGTGACACAGAGGTCAACGCTGCGTCGCTCTGAACACCAACTGTTTGCTCCCAGGGTGAGACGCTTCAGAGAAAAATGAACTCATCCTTCAGCTCGTCTCTAAACAATCTGAACATTTTCAGCGTGAAACAAAAAAATAAATGCTCAGCACTGTTTCTGTTGACCCAATTTACAGGCAACACTGATCTTCACCTACTCAGCTGAAATTATTGCTGACTTGTTCACTAGAAAATGGAGCAAAACCATCAATTTAAAACCGGAGAGAAAAAAACAGCTGGATTTACTCTCAGATGTCAGGAACACAGATGTATGGAGCTTGTTCTGTAGCGGGTTTGAAAACTATTTACCATATATGGACAAAAAGCCCAACTCATCTTGGTTTGCTTTGGGGAAAGAAAAAAAAAACTACTTTTCTACGGTTGTAAGGAGCCCCCACCCCCATTTCCTGTTTTAGCCTGTAAGGATCACCAAATAATATAGGTTTAATAAATGGCAGAATAATTAAATACTTTGTTTTTTGTTATGACTTTTGAAGCTTTTGATCAAATTATCCAGAACATTTAATTTAAAGACATTCTTCTTAGTGATGTCATCAAAAAATTAACCTAATATATAATCTAAAATACCTGGAAAAGACTTGTGATTCCCAAGAATTTGTTAATCCTCCAGATATCATAAACTAGTATGAAAAGGTTTATCCTCAGTTGTGTTTTTCTAATTCTACAATATTAGTTTCCCCATCGAAACCATTCATACATTTTCTTAAATTATATCATACTTTGCAACTTAACATTCAGAAACCTCAGAGTATTTTGATAGGATGCTTGTGAGAACCTAACATAGAAAGGCATCATTTTGAATTGAGAGAAAACTGATGAATTGTTTCAATGTTATTTAAAAAATAAAAACATCTGAAAAATTTGGGCTCCTATGCTCCTATTACTATGACCCTTTTGGTTGTCTCTATGATTAGTGCTCTATCTGTTGTGCGTTCTCATGTGCTTGTTTACTCATGAAACATCCTCAGCCTCAGCCCTAGTACTGTTCCAATTCACAAGAACAGCAGACCGAGAACGGACAAAGTCCCCGAATGTTGTTCTTGCCCCTCCCCATTTACCCAGCATGCATCAGAGCAGACTTGTCCGTTGTTGAGATTGACAGCTGTCCCAGCATGCACTGCGGCAGCAGCAGCTTTCAATGGAGGACTCACAGAGCTCAGGGTGTTAAGTTAAAAGTTCTCTTTTCTGTTGCTGTTGCTCAGTAAACATACGTTTTAAGATCATTTTAAGGGAGAATATAATAATTTAAAGCGTCACTATATGGTCCATTTACTGATTTAGTGCGCTATTAAAAAGAAAATTTCAGAAGTTGAGAGGACCGCTGCAACCAGCAGCCAGGGCTAACCGCAGCCCGTCTGCAGCAGCCCTCTCTCAGCATAGCATAGTCTGAAGGCCAGTTTTTTGTTTTATTTGGCAAAATGTTAATTTGATTTGTGTTTATCTGGCTCTCTTAATTATTATTCCCTCACTAAATGCAAAAAGTTACAATTTATTATTATCTAGAGACTATTAATAACAGGAGGTGAAATGCAGCTCCAAACGAGCCGGGAATATGGTGACGTCATCAGTACACTTTTGTTCCAATTGACCCATATTTATGGCGCACTCTCCCGTTTTCCCAGAGTTCATACTTTTCTGTGTTCTTCTCGAGAAAGTACTTGGCGAGGACACGAGTCCGTACTCGCGTTCTAGCTAATTAAGAAACGGCCTTTATTTAAGGGGGTCACATTAAAGGTTTGATAATTTTGCACATTTTACATTTCGTTTTTTTTTTTGTAAAACTCTGAAACTCTGAAAACAACTATCCCTTTTTTTTTATTTCCAGCACTGATGTATCGGCTGCTTCATTAAAGGTCCATTGGGAAAACAAATTTTTATGCACTGCTGAAGAACATAAAATAGGTTGAAGGGGTATGAATACTTTTGGAAGGAACTCTAACCCTTCGACTATGGAATCTCAAATCTGCATTTTTACTTTTAACAGCTCATTTCGAAGCGGCGTGAGGAGCCCCAGGTGTGATTCTTACCATGTGGCTTTGCTGGGACTGGGTGGCACCGTACATCGTGATGCCGTTGGTCGGAGCCGCCAGCTGTGGTGCGTCTGCTTCGACATAACGTCGTCTGTCAATTAGACTGTGGAGAAACGTGACAAAGGAAAAGTTGTGAGGCTTTATTAACAAAAAACACAGCAAACATTGTTACCGGGCAACCAGAATTCAACATCCAACATATCAAGTGATCTGCAATCTGGGAAAACAATAAGGTTAAATAAATGGTCCTTTCTGTGGAAAGAAACGTGCAGCAGTTCAACTGACCCCGCATGCTTCAATGCATAAAGCTGTGAACCAACTCTATTATTCAAGTCTTGACCATGACAGCGACAGAGTGAGAGCAGACCTCCATATTTCTACTAACACAGATCCATAAAATCAGAACTTGGTGATAAATGACTGCGGTCCTGCAGTGAAGCAGCAGAGTGAATCATTGTTTCTGTCCCATCGTTAATGCTGCAGAGCCCTGACGCAGCTGCTCAGACAGCAACCTGCTGAACTCTGGCGTTCGTTGGCTCATGTGAAGCGCTAATAGGCTAAATACAGCAAAAAGGGGCAATTTTTCAGCCAGATTGATCAGATACAGAACAAGCATGCAAACAGAGAGGTGTTTGACGAGTTCCAGTGGTGCTGAGATGGTTTCATGCAAAAACGGTTTCTAAGCATCAAAAACAAACCAAAAGGAAAGCACAGTAGCAGCCTGTGTTGCCAGGAACAGCATAAACTCGTGTGTTTAAACACATCACTCAGGGTCTCTGCAGAGAACAGCATGTATGAGCTATCTCTATAGTTATGCTGCTATAGGCTTAGACTTTTGGAGGACATAGGGACCCCCATTTCATCATTCTGCTTCATACTCTCTCTGTTCTCCTATTCTGCAGAATCTGTTAGTTCAATCTCTAACCTTCTGCTCTCTCTGCTTTTCCTCAGAGTAGCTTTGCCTCGTCTGTTCCTGTTTGGCTGTGACGTCATCCTGGAAAAAAACATCAGCTGTGCTGCTTCTATCAACACCCTTGTTAATAGATGTTGGAGATCGGCCTGTTTTCCAGTGTGGTCCTGTTTCTCTGACCGTGACTGAGTGGATGTGCTCTCTTCGTCCTCTGGCATGGGAGCTGCCTTGGAGCTCGTCTGCCTGGCTGTGTGTTTCCTGGACGGGGCCGCCTTTTACAGCTGCTTTTTGTATCTCTGCTTCTGTCTCCTTGAACCCCAGTCGGCCTCGGCAGATGGCCGCTCACACTGAGCCTGGTTCTGCTGGAGGTTTCTTCCTGTTAAAAGGGAGTTTTTCCTCTCCACTGTCGCTACAAGCATGCTTAGTGTGGGGGATTGTATTTGAGTCAATGAGTCAATGCAATCAACTGGTTTTCCTTAGATAGAAAACTTTGTATCAATTTGACTGTATGATCTGGTTGAACTGTAAAGTGCCTTGAGATGACATGTGTTGTGAATTTGGCGCTATATAAATAAACTGAATTGAATTATGAGGCTTTCTCTGTCTTTGCATGTGACAGACGACACTGCTGGCTTGGGCCGTAGGCGTGCTGAGACATGTTGAGGGTAATGCAGGATCCAGCTGCACGGTGGCAGCAGACACAGATGCCCAGATGGCAGCCACCTGTGCTCTGAGGAACTTCCTCACCACCCACAGGAATCAGTCCTGCAGATTTATTGCTGTAGATGGCCAGAGGACAGTGCAGCCAAATGGTTTAATAGGAAAGCGTCTAAAAACCTTAAAAAGAGTTTTTCTAAGTTTGCATCATAAAGTAGGCGTCTCTCCATACATTTATGTGACAATTATGATCAATAGACCTAAAAAAATGATGGAAGTGTTAAAACTTTATCTCAATCAACTAGGGCAACTAGTTTTTTTTTTTTTTTTAAGCAAACGGAAGCTTTTTCAACTCCAGGTTTTAGTTACCATAAATCAGCACTAACTGCATCAATAACCATATCTATCTTTACTTGACAAACATAAACTCCATCTACAGACTTGATTACTTTTTTTAGTTTATGTGCTTGTTTAAAGTTTGGTTCCAAAAGTAATATTACACAATTGCTAATTTCAGCCATGAATTTGATTTCATTTCCCCCACTTTAAATATTTTTTTTTACAAAGTATATCTCCATTTCAAACATCAAATTGAACACAGTATTAGAAGTAATTATGCAGGAACCTGAAAATGTACCAAAAAAACAAATTTCCTTTACTTGTTGTAGTTTATAGATCAACACTTCAAAACTCAAAGTTTGGATGTGGAAAAAGAGACAGAAAAAGAAAAGAGACAGAATTAAATGCAAATGATCAGCTGATATTATTAGGTTACAGGGCAAAACCCCTCAAACACTAAAGCTTTAAAGAAATGGGAACTGATCAAATGACTATTACTGTTTAGTCACATGGAGAGGAGCATATAGCTGTGACAACTGGGCAGTACATAACCAGAAAAGGGGGGGAATCTTTTATATCTAAGAGGCTTTGATCTTGGATGTTTTAAAAATAACCCTGAAATTGTTTAGTCTCTCGCCGAGTCGTCTCTGCTAAGTTTAGAAAGATGCAGCCAGCAAAATCATTCGAAGCAGCTCCACATATCAAAGAGTCTTAATGAACCGTTTGATCGTCAACATTTGGAGAAAACAGAAAATTACTATGATGGAAAATAAAGCCAGAAGGAAGTAATTATTTCTGCGAAGGTTAAAAAAAAAAAGACAAAATAAAAATGAGAAGGATTACAGATCTGTGTGAAAACACAGAGTCAGACCGAACTTCTTCATATGCTGCCTACAAAAAGGAGTTTGTTTTTATTTTACAGCTGGAAACTGTGTATGTGCTGCACAACATGGACATCAGGAAACTAGTAAAAGTAAAAACACGTGAACACGCTCGTCGTACCTCGGTGGAAGGGGTCCACATAGCGCTGCACAGCAGTTGGTGAATATATTTCCATAGCTGTAAGGGTTATAGTTGTCCTTCCCTCTTTTAGAAGACCAGGAACCCTTTATCTGGAAGACATGCCACATCGTAAGCAACTTCTAGTCTGGTCTAAACAGAAAACTCTGACACTGAAGGTGGTGGAGGAGACAGGGTTGAGATGAACATCTTTGACATGGTTAGGAGGATGCATGGAGCAGCAGCACTGACTGTTCCAGCTCTGGTCTAAGTTGAAAAGCCTGGAGCCTACAGATGTTGTTCATGTCAAGTAATAAACGTAGGATTTATTTAGACGTCCAGATGTATTCAATCTGTGAAAAAAAACTGTAAACATCTAATAATCTATAAAACTAAAATATGTTTTACAGGCCTCAACATGAAACATCTGGTTCCTATTATAACCGGCCATATTCAGCTAAATAATACTTTAATAATAATCCTAATTTTGTGAAATGAATTAATATTTTTACTTTTATCATGCTAATTTCTTCCTAGTGTTTGCAGATGGTGAATTGATCAGTGAGAAGATCTGTGCAATGAATGTTTCTACGTTACCATTAAATCTATTATTTAACTTGATTAAATAAATAAAAGCACCCAAAGACCTTAACCTGTTAATTTGCAGCCCTCAGGGGCGTCTAGGATAGAGATCGACTGATGCAGCTTTTTTTAAGGCCGATAATTTTGACATTAGTCTAACTGACCACCGATACGTGCTGCTTATTTTTTGAAGGACCATCTCTTGGAGCTTGCATTCCTTATTTCGCCTCCATTTACATGATACAAATGTTGGACACGGTTCAACAAAAACAACTTTTATCAACAAACTAAAAGGTTTTGGACCTGAAATGTTTTCTAAACTTCTTCCAAAACTCCTTTTTAAACTATAATATTTTCTATTACATATGCCAAATGTCAGCGATCATTTTTCATTTCAGTTTAAAATAAAGATTTTTAAAAATTCATAAATAAGCGGTGGACATCAGGTGGAGGGTGCAGCAATGCATTTTCTCTATATGATTTAAAGACATGGCTGCTGAATGCACGAATGAAAAAGCAAAAGCATAAAAGTAACGGCCTAAACTGAAACAAGAAGAAAAAAAACCAAAACTGTAATATTGCCTAAATCTCTGCCGGTATTTTGTAGGATCAGCATATCTCGTCAGACCAGCCAACCTATAGACAATATGCATGCGCAAAATGTCAGATTTGTGTTTATCCCTTTAGTTTTGTATGAAAAATACCCTTTAAATTACCTCAACAGGCATGTTTCCCTTTACACATGTACAACAACCCCCCAATTTAAGTTCAGATCATCATACACTAAAAAAAAAACAACCCATAAAGTAATTAAATTGTTTTTTTGTACATGAGTAAAGGAATAAACGCCCATTGAGGTAGGTTAAAGTGCATTTTAGTACAAAACTAAATAGATAAACTAAAGGGATAAACGGGTTTTGACAATGGGTATGCTGGTCTGACCTGGTATGATGCATCGGTCCGACTCTATCCAGAGAACACATTTAGGAACAACTGCTTTTAACTTATACAATCTTTAATTAAAAATAAAATAAAGAAAACTGAACATCCATACTTACATCTTCATTGGTGGTCTGATTGGAGCTGATCAGGTATGTATGGAAGCCTGAGAGGCCCACTATGGACCAGACCGAGAAGAAACACACCACCACCTCCAGCACAGTGATGCCATCAAGGTTAAAGAATCATTTTCTACTCTGCTATGGACAACAAGGTTAAAAGCTCATTGACTGGTACATAATAGACCCATATTGAGCCAAGATGGACTATAAACATGCAGCAGTAGCAGCAGGTATACTGAGCCCCAGCCTGAGGGCCGCTCCGCTGCCAACACTTCTAAGCAAGCAGTTCATTTAGGTACAACTCATTTCATCTGCTGATTTGAAAACAAAAAAAAAGCATACAGGACACTTGGGATAAATCTAACAGAGGTCAAACAATGACCTCTTTGAACATACCGCTTAAAGTGTCTAAAACTGTTTTATGCTCTACAAAAGACTTTAGAGTCAGATCATAACGCTTCATTATTCATGGTCTCAAAGAAATGTCTTGGGGTTATTCAGATAGAGAAGCTCTACTCAGAAATCATTCATAAACTCACATAATCTTTAATCTCAGTTTTCACCCATCAGCATCTTTCTTGTAAACGAGGTCAAAGCGCATCAGCTATGCAAAGGACTGCGGTGATGTTATCAAAGGAAATGTTTCCTTTATGAAAGACTGGAAGGACACAGGACATTATCAGCTTAGCTTGGCACACATTCCTCTGGCAGAAACAAAGTTATCTCACTCAGGCACAGAGAAATGCCAGAGTGGAGCTGTGTCTGAAGTCATTTGGTTTTGTATATCATTAAGAGAGAATCATTCGTACTACAGCCAAGATCAGATGTAAGGGCATCTTTTACATGAGAAAAGTATAAATAAAAGCTTCTCATCTTTTAACAGACTGTTCTAAACAGACCGGGGGTATTTTATTGCTCTGATTTAAAGCTAAAACAACCTTTTATAATCCTCCCACTAGACTGCTTGCTAAGTTTTAATCAACAGAGCAATGATTTACAGCTAAAGGCCAATCTGAAGGGTATGAAAGTAGACGCTGCTGCAACAAAACATCCAAGTAGATTGGATCCCTCAGAGCTTAATACATTATATCAGGTTGAGACAACTGGCCGTCTTTCCATGCATGCGTCACAGAAAATGAACCGTATACTTTCACCATCTCATCCTGCTGCACTCATAAGGTCTAACGCTAATATTATCTTCAGAGAGAAAGGCAGATAAAATGAAAGTTATTTGATAATGGAAGGAAAATAGTGCTCACGCAGGCTGTGTAAAGATAAAAAGTTATTAGTAATAAAATCCAACCTCTTAATGACTTGACTTAAATAACGTTTCAAGACTAGATGACTAAGAATCTTCACCAGCATTTCAAGGAACCTAAAGGTGTAAGCAAATGGCTAAATGTTGTAGAACTGAAACATAAACAAAGCCTCATACCAGGAAAATGTGTGTACTGTTCACAACTCCTGATTGCAATAAGTGTTTCCCTCAGCATTCTTTGAAAATGTCTTTGCTTAGTGAAATTAACATCTTATTTCACATGTGGCATCCTAAAAAATGGATCTAGAGATTCCGAAAGTTTTAAATAACACAATAATCTGGCGGTCATATAAAAAAATGTTGACTTTACTCAAATCTAAATGTGAACTTGGCTTTTACACATAGACATAAATGAAAGTTTAATCCAAATCAAGATCATGTTGATAATGAGACTCAATCTAACAATGAAGAAATACCTCAGAACCATTTAAGGACACTAGTTTAAACTTGGTTAAAAAAGATAATTTGTGTAATTTTTTCTTTCACTTTCTTTGCATTTAATTCAATTTATTTATATAGTGCCAATTCACAACACATGTCATCTCAAGGCACTTTACAATTCAACCAGAACGTACAGTCAAATTGATTCAAAGTTTTCCATTTAAAGAGAACCAGTTGATTGCATGGACTCCTTGACTCAAAGGCGGTACCTCACACTAAGCATGCATGCAGCGAAGGTGGAGAGGAAAAACTCCCTTTTAACATGAAGAAACCTCCAGCAGAACCAGGCTCAGTGTGAGCGGCCATCTGCCGAGGCCGACTGGGGTTCAAGGAGACTTTTGTGTGCAGCTTTCCATTCTTTGCAAGTAAAGCCATGGTATCTACATCGATAGTGTTTGGGATCCCTTCTGGCCAGAAAAGGTGTCCAACTGAGGGACAGGAGTGGAGGAAAACTGCAGCCTGAATATATATCTCTGCACCAATGTCCTCGTACTCAAAGCTGACCAAAATATTGTAACGCTGTCATTTTATATTTTAACCTTTCAAAGAAACAAAAAAACCTAAGAATTAAGGAGAATGTACTTTGGCAGTATTTCAGGTACAGCATATTGTGAAGTTATATTACTTCCTGCAGCAATTCGAGAGGTTGATACCTGAACATAAGATCTTGGCTGCATGTCTTCCCACTTTTCTCTCTCTGCATTTATTCTGATAAACCATACTGTGTCCATCTGAACTCAGACCTTCCAAATACAAAGTAGGAAATTGAAACAGATTTTCCCAGAGAGTAGCTGGGTTTAAAAGTAATCTGAGTTTTGTGCTTGACGAAGTGCATCAACCAACAAAAGCTGATCTTGAAGCTAGCTGGCAGACAGACACTGTATCCAAGCCACGTTTCTCTCCTCTAAAACCAGGTAAAATGAAAGAGAAAATCCTGACAGATTTGTACCTTCTGAAGCAGCCTCTAAAAGCTGTAAGAGAAATAATGATGGTGGGGCTCACCAGAATGAAGCATGAATCATTTTACACCATTTAACGGCGACTGGGATGCACTTCATGCAGCAGCTATAAGCACTCAACAAGCATTTTAAATGATCACCTAAAAAGAGCCTATTTGTGTTGTATTATGAAGCAGATCAAGTTTAAAATCAAAAATTCTCCCAATGCTGGGATGAAATGATGAGAGAAAAGCAGAGGCCTAATGCAAAGCACTTGATGCACAATAAAAAATACACAATACCAGTAAGCATGGCGGATAATGAGGCACTTTTTTACTTTCCTTTAACAGCTACCATAACCATCCTTTTAGAAGCAGAGTTGCATTAAATTTACCATCCAACTCATTGACAAAAGGTGGCATTTTAAGTTTGACCCATGGACACAATGGAACACTAACATTTCAAGATATTAATAAAAAATAATAATAGTTTATATGCAAAAAAAAAAACTGTCAGTGTAAATGTGGCAACAGTGGTTGTAGTGGACGTTTATTAACAATAAAAAATGAAATGTGTATGTTTCTATATCATTTCAATATTAATGGTAGGCAACATCAATATATATGTTGTATAATTAAATTAATGTATGTATATATTTATAATTAAAAAGAGTAAGTTTTATTTAGCTAAACTTCCCAAAACTTACTAAAGGAATCCTGACAGAGAATCCTATGAACCAGCATGCAATATAAAGAAAATGCAGAAATAATAATTCATAGTCCATCCTGTCAGTCCTATAAAGCACATATTGATGAGTTACCGCTGATAAGAGTTTTACAAAAGGATATCTTGCAGGACTATCTTTCAGCGCACTGAGAAACCCTTTTTGATGCGAACCTGCAAAAACAGAAAAAAAAATTTTCAATTAGATATTTCATGCTATCGTTTTTCTGAAACACACCATATCTTCTCTGATCTTTTTTTTGGTTTCAAATCATCATTTTAATGAGGCAAAGATGACCTAAGATTATACAAGAACTGCCAATCAATCAGCATTAATGTGGAGGATTGTTAGCCTGCTCTTCTAATTCACTCACAACGTTTTCCGTTTGTGGATTCAGTCAGTCTGTGATTTGCCGAAAACCCAAATCCTTTCAAATTACTTCATAAATAGAGATGAATATCAAAAACTTTATTTCCCTGTTCTTCAATAAATCTGGATAAAAAGCACAATGCTGCTTTTTGACATATTTAAGCCTACTTCACATTGTCAGACAGGTTCTTCTAAATGATGCTAGCAGTAATCATGGATGGGCATTGATCTCAGCTGTTAATTGAAAAAAAAGAAAATAGTTACCGGTAATTAAAATGAGTTTGGTTGGTTGGACATCTTTTTTACCTTTATAAATAATGGTAAAATTTGCTTGATAATCTGAAAGCTACAAACCCAACAACATATGATATTTATAAGGGGTCAATTACTTTTTTACAGCATTATGTTACAACTGAGAAGGCATTTAAAGCCTCCATTTAGAGCAAAGTGTGTCCCTTACATGATAGTTTTAGTTAAAGGGTGGAGAAACTGAGAAAAACACCAACAAGACTACAGATTTGGCAGCTTTAGGAACTAAGCAGATACTTGGGTAATGTTAAAACATCTAGTATTATGCTACAACCTATGATTTGGGGATAATGAAGTAGTTCTTCACATAACAGAACATTTTAAGGCCGAGCTGTAAATCATGTGATCCAGTGGGAAGCATCAGTACCAAATTATGTCAAAATGAGCCCACTTACAGATCTATAAGGGGTTTTATTATCCGCTAATATGCTCATATTTCTTTCCTCAGAGCAGCAACACACAGCAAAGTGTCACGTTAAATCAAAAAACCAAAAGGACTTCTAGCTGAGTCGGTCCACCGGCTGTTCCCAGCTAGAGGGACGATACTGAGCCAGAACTCTGCAGCATTTCACACCGCCCACTTACAACCTGCTGGCTAGAAATACACCGAGAGCATGTGTCTGCGCTCTGCCAATAAGCTACTTACTTAAAATGATGTGTGTGATGACAAAGGCAAAGATGAAGATGGTGAGGAAGGAGAGAGAGAGGATGAACATGTAGAAGAAACGGTAGTTCCTCCTCCCCACACAGTTCCCCACCCACGGACAGTGGTGGTCAAAACGCTCTGCAAGGAAAGAGGAAGATCAGGAAGTTACTGTTGATACAAAGAAGACTCCTGTCAGCCATCCCTAGCTGAAAATCAGATGATGCACAGTTATATAACACTTCCTGAGAATTGTTGTTCTTTGAGCCAAAGCTCTGCTCTAAATAGATCTTTTCTGACTGGAGAAAAATATTTGAAAAGGGAAGCCCGTTCTTGGCTGCAAGGGAGAAGGAAGAACAAGGATTTAAGAGTTGGTCCAACTTTTACCCCCTATCCTTCTATTGTTCTTTTTGCCTAAAAGGATTGTATTCATGTGGCTTGTTTGTTAAAGAAAAGCCTCATTTGATATGATAAAAAAATAAAAGAAAAGGAAAAAAAACCAGGGTTAACGAAGTGCAATACATGGAAGGTGCTTTCAAAGAATTTCTTGCTGGTTTAGAAGAATTTAGAATATAAAGGTCAAGTTTTAAAGACAGGTTCTGTCTGCAGGTGGATACAAGTATAAAATGTAATTAAAAAGAAAAAAAAAATCAATAAAAGGAACTCCATCAGAAGGACGAATACTTTACCTCTCCATTGAATTAAAAGTTGTACATTAACCCTATTTTGTAGAATTGATTTAATAAAGGATGGGGGAACCTTTTTTAAAGACGGTAGGAAATGGTTCAAATTAAAATTTGGTTTAATCAACAAACCAGCTGATGAGAGTAAAGTTTATTATGATATAATAGGATAATGTAATATAAAATATTTGCTACTGATTACTAATATAAATCTATACTTCTGATTTAATAAGAAAAATGATTACTTTCATCTAAAAGCACATAAAAGTTACTATTAAAATTGATAGAACTGTTTGTCAAAGCTAAAAGAATTAGGGCTGAAGCGATTAATTAGAAAAATGGTGATTAATCAATTACTGAAGGATCATCTAATTAGGTCATGCAATTGAATGGTTATCTAGAGTAATTGCGCACAATTACAAACTAAAAATATGTATAAAACATGAAATATACATAATAATTCTATTAAAGATTAAATATATTCCTATATCTATACATATTAATAAAGAAATTATATATATATATTTTTCTTTTTCATATATATTTTGCCATTTGCAATTCATTTAAAATGTGCAATAAACGATTGTTCATTAAGAAATGTTAATTTACAGATTAATAATTAATAAAATAATCAATAGGTGCAGCCTTAAGAAGAATATTTATGTTACAGCATTATTGCTGGTTTTAAATTTGCTAAAGGATCAAAGATCGTGAAGCACAAGGGAATCCAAAGCACAAATAAAAAGATTTACTAACAACTAACTAACTAACTGACCTTTAATTGATAAGCAACCTACTTAACTGCTGTTGTAGCAAAGATTTGCTAATTTAAAATCTGAGGAAACAAAGTAAAACCAACAAGAGAAAAAACCCCCAAAACATTTCATCAAAATTGTTGTTCAGCAACAATGTGAGAAAAACATGCTTATAATATGTGGTTCAGAAAATCGCCCAAAATGTTCATTTGGAACCAGCTTAAAAGATGCGACTGATCTGATCTTCAAAGCAAAACTTGAGTGGAAGCGGAAACTAGTTAGAGGAAAACAATCCCTCTGGGTTTTGGAAAAATTGGGAGAAAAAAAATCATCCTCCAAACTGCTCTATCATAAAAGCTATTACAAAAGGCAGACTGGGATAGCTAGTAAAGATTAAATATAACTCTTTAAAAAACAAACCAGGATGGATAAAAAAACAACCTTTTATTCCCCTTATTTTACAGATTTCTCGGAAGATTTTATTTAATGCCCACAAACAACACAGTTTAGCCTGTGGGGGAAGACTACTCACTGCGCTCAGCTATTAAATTAATTAATTAAAACATTAGTTAAACCCATAACTAGCTTAGTTAGTGAAATGACCAGCTTTTCTCCACACTGATCAATTCCTGACTCAAAGTTGTCTCTAGCTGTAGCCCCAACCGGAATATAACCACTGTTTACCAGCGGTCTTTATTCTGGAATATTGAACAAAACTAGAGCAAATGAAGCCTTTATAGACAGATTCTTCTTCTGTTTTACTCTGGGAGCGCTATACATTTTATGTTAATATAATATCAAAGTCGGTAAGCAAAAGAGGAACAGCTAATAAGCTGCTCTGTGGCTATATCCCTGTGATCAGTGGTTTTAAAAAGGAAACCAACAACTCTAAATAGCCCCATAATAAGGCAATAAATTCGTATTTATTTGCCAGTACAGTTATGCATTTGTTTTCTCCTTACGTAACGAAACAAAGCCCCCAAAGGGATAATTACAGCTTGAAATGTCCTCAAACTAAACACATCAAAAGAGCAATAAAGTACCATTAAAATCAATTATTCAATCCTGGGCCTCAGACAAGCAGCAGTATTTGGCCTGGCTTAAAACACAGATAGTTGCCTGTTTAATCCACACAGGAAAGTGTGTGTGTGGGTTATATTTCTGTGCTGTTCCAGGCCTCTTCAATCACACCCAAAGGGATTAAAGAACCAGGGAATCTTCACTGTTATCCAGGACAGGGACCAGGGAAGGGATTTCCTTTCTGGCTTCTGTCTTATTTAACAGCATGTTATCAACTTTGGCTGTTAGAAAACCCATCAGACAAACCCAAAAACACACACAGGGTTTACCGTTGGTTGGAACTGAGAAATAATTTTAAATTGGAAATAAAATAATCCTGCTTGTTCATAAGGTTAATCATTTAGGGATGCATAAACTGATAGTTAAAACTAATGTTACAAATATGAGATGCTTTAAAACAAAAGTGCGATTTATGTGGAGTTAATTTTGATGGCATTCGACGGACTATTGTTTTAGTAGATTTTAAGTGATACAGTCAAGAGAGCCATGTTTATTTTATAGTCAATAATTTAAAATGAGAAAAGTTCTAATGTACAGAGAAAGTTAAAAACTAAACTGCATTTATAGCTTATAAATATCTCAGCATCAGCAGGTCAGAATAAAGGACATCCACTCAAACTTCTCTTTTCTATTGCCAAGCCAGACAACTTTTCATTGCTTTTGACCCAGAGGATGTGCTGTTCAGGATTTCTATACCAATTTAAAAATAGTTTGTCTGAATTACCCTGAGGAGACAGCTGCATGTCTGTTTTCTGTTTACTTCGTCTTTGGCCTCAGATTTCTGAAGGGATTTTAAGCTCAAGCTCTGTGCTGCTTATTCCAACTCAGTTCTCACTGAAGTCCTAAAGCAGGAGTAACCAATTAAAAATCAGTGTTGTCCGAATAAAGAAAATCATCAACCAATAAAGGTCCTGAGACCTTTAATTATAATCTGTTACTTTAAACAGCATTTAACACTGAAATAAAATATAGGCGTTTATGCATCCATGTTTTACATAAAATTTTTAAATAAAAAATATCCGAAAATTTTTTTTTTTTTACATCTGAATTGTGTTTGAAGCACAGAAACAACAACCTTTCAGTTTGGTATAGAGACAACTTCCTGACTGACTTTTTTTCTAAAACACCTGAACTGACTGTTTTTTCTTTCTTTTTTATGTCCTAATGAGAGCAGTAGGCTTTATGCTGCCCTGCAAGGCTTTAAACCTGGGTTTGAATGGAAACAAAGCCATTCTAAGGCTACGTTCACACTGCAGGCCTTAATGCTCAATTCCGATTTTTTTGTGAAATCGGATTTTTTTGCGTGTCCGTTCAAACTTCCAAGTATATGCGACTTGTATGTGATCTACTGTGTGAACTGAAAGCGTTCAACCGAAGTGTCCCGCATGCGCACTGGAGGACGCGATGACGTCACATGTAGCAAGCGTCCTCAGTGTTTGCGGAAGTAAACATGACTCGTAATACCGCAGCGTATATTGCGTTCTTTAAGTTCTTCTCCAACAGGAGCAGGCACATTACGAACAAAATCTTTTTAAGAAGATCAAAAAGAAAGACCCTCCCCCGGTTCCGGTAAGACCCTTCGAGTTTGGTCTGAATCGAGCTATCTTTCCAAATATGAATTGTCAGCAACCTCACCTTCTCTCCATTGACTGCTCTCTGTGTTATCTTCCGCCATGGTTGTTAGTTTTTCCCGCCTCCGCTTAGTAGGACGCAGTTTAGTAGCGTTTAGTAACATTTGTCAAGTATCAATGACGTGTAGGTCGGATGAATGCGACCTGGCCGTACAGACACAGGTCGCATTTGAAAAGATCAGATCTGTGTCGTTCAGACTGTCATAAAAAGATCAGATACAGGTCACATATGGGCAAAAAAAATTGGAATTGGGTCACTTCAGGCTGCAGTGTGAACGTAGCCTAAAGCACATATCAAGGTGCTCATTCGTGAGCCTGGATCAATATTTATTTTTGATTATGTTTATGGAGGAGAATCCTGCTTTACAGCAGCAGGTTGAGCCAAACATACTCAAAATATGCAGGGTCATCTTTGAGCACACCATTTCACTTTTTTTTCACCAGTTCACAGCAGTTCTTCTAGCAGTCCACACTTTCTCTACTATCTTTTTCTCATGGTCTTCTTCTTTCCTATTGCCCGGCTTGCCACAGGTTTGCCAGCTGTGTCTAAAAGTAGCAGCAGCACCCAGACTGACAGCAGCTCATTGGCTAATTTGTATCACGTGTAGCCTGGTGCCGGACACTCTGAATGGCTTTACCGTACAAACAGGAGAAGCGGAGCAAGTAAAGTTTAGACACTGTCGTCGGACAACATACGGTAATTTATAAATGTTTTAAATCAGGTTGAGTCCGAATTAGCCACCGGTTGGTTTCGAATCCGGACCGTGGTCCACTAATCAGTGACCTCTGCCCTATTGAATACATCTCAGTTTTATTTTACTCGCATCAAACATTTTACCAATTCTAATTTACTTATTATAATAACAGTCATGAAATGTAGCTACTTACCTTCAGATGTGGTTAAATATTTATCAGTTTTCCATAGACTTAAACTAAAATTATGATTTTCTTTAAGGGATCAGCCCCAATTAAAAGCTTTTACCTATATCAATTATGTTAGTTATAAATGATGTATCCAGAAATCTTCTGTAGTATTTTTAAAAAGAACAAAAACATAAGGAATTTTTTGGCAGTAAAAACAGAAATGAGCAAATCTATAGAAAAAAAAATGTTTCGTCTTTGCACAGGTAAAATAATTTTAAGTCACTTTATGTTTTATTGTTCTATACGGCATTACATGCATTTCTAATGTGGAGTGGAAGATGATCCTCTTGTTATAAACATTTTAAACTAGCCTGCAAGTTATTCCTATGAATAGATTTAAAGCTAATTTTAGAGGTTGTCACACCCCTCCCACTGGCAGGATGAATTATCTATTTTTGGGGCGGACTCTAGTTTCATTTCCTTCCAGCTTCGGCAGGAGGTCTCTTCCTGTTAAGGGGGAGTTTACTTTTTTCGCTGTAACCAAATTGCCTGTTCAGGATGAGGGATTTCTGCAAACCAACAACTCATTGAAATGAACTCTCCACTGTCCCTACACTCTCATCCATAACTGGATGTTTTAGAGTCAGTGGATCAATGCAGTGTGCTGGGACTCTTGCCAATTATATTATAAGTGCAGTGTTCAATAGGTAGGATCAAATGTAAAGAATAAACTGACTGTATTTCTTTATATAAATTAATGCTTTTGGGTAGAAAGTCTTCACACATTTCTCATGACACAATTTTAAATTTCACAAAATGTAAATTTCAGTGTTATCTGAGGCTTTTGTTTCAATCTTAACAGAGAACAATACATACAAACTCTATAACTATTATGTTACGTGTCTTTTTTCAGTGTTGTTTCAGTTAATCCATTGCAAACTCTTGGCATTCAAGCTGTGAATCTACCGCTTTGCTTTTTGATCTATTTTCTGTTGAGGAAGTCCTTCTACGAAACAAACAGCCTGCAATGGTTGTTTGTCTTTTTGACATGGTTCCTTTCGCTTACAATATGCATAAAAGACAACTCAGTGTAGCATTTCCTGCTCCTTCCTTCCTTTCTGGTAGCCTGCATATACTCTGTCCGATTACCGTGTTTTCATAATTTTCTACATCTATAGTGCAAACGGTTTCAGCCATATCTGGCAGTAAAACAGAAAATAAAACACAACGCTGACTAAAAATGGGGCACGCATCAGAGAGGCTTTTAGATATCTATTTTTTAATATGTAATACTGATAGACCAATTTTAATGTGTTTAACCATTTCCAGGATGAATGTTTTTTTCTTTACAATCCGAAAAAAGCATAATACAAGATTAATTTTCTACATTTTGACAGAGAAAATAAAAAGGCTGGAAATCTGTTTTCTCAAAAAAGGAAAGTTCAGGATCAAAAGTTAAAGGAGCATTGCTCTAACTTATACCTTGCTGCTTAGATTAAACAGCTTTTTTTCAAAATAATTACAAACGTTGGTCACCATAAACTTGGATAAAAAAAGGCATGCATTACTAAAACTTCCAGTAATTTACAAAAAAATGCAATAACTCACCCACACAGTTGTCACAAAGGCTGCAGTGGGAGGCACGTGGTGGTCTGAAGATTTTGCACGTAAAGCAATACTTCAACTTGACCGTCTGGCCATTGATGACGACCTCTTTGGTCCTGGGAGGAGGTCTGTAGCCTGTGCTGCCATTAGCCACATCTTAGCATCAGCGGAGAGGGAGGAAACCAAAGAGAGGCATAAGAATGTGTGCAGAGGTTCCAATTTATCAGTAAATGCTTGAAACAATGCGTGCTGTGAATATTTTGGTGAGATACAATGCCTACTTTTTCAGTACATATGACATGCAGAGATCAGCTGATGGCTTGCAGATAGACAATAATAATGACAATAGACTCTCTGATTTGACACATTTAAAATGAGTGATGAGGTGGTTTTTGTATCTTAAGAATGCTGTGTAGATATGTTCCAGAAGAACTGCTTCAGGAACATCTATCTGAAAGGTCAACTGGGGGAAGAACTAAAAGGCAGTGGAAACATTTCATCTCAAAGCCCCCAGTGAGCTGGCGATCTATGTTCAGGCTGTTTTGAGGGATGGTTTCTCCTTTATAGCTTATACTAAGGAGTAAACTGATTCTCTGGCTGTTAAAAAATGGAAAGTTGGTTGAGGTAATATTAACTTATTTAGAAACTTAAAAAGACATTATATAATTCCAACGATATAATTCCTACACTAAAATGAAGATAAGCAGAAGGCAAAACTGTAGCAAGCTGTTTTAATGGTTATAGTAGGAAACAAGAAAGCAGTGATGAGAAGCTAAACTATAAGCGTGAGGGATGATAGTAATTTTTTATGAGATAGAAAGTGAAGCGTGTATCTGAACAGTGCTGTGCCTGCTCAGAGTACCCTTACACAGGGAGGAGGAAATGGTTTGTGTAGGAAGATAATTTTGAGATCAGGGTGAAGCCGGCATCTTCGGAGTGGTGTGCGCTAGAGGGAGGAATTTAGGGACAGCAAAGATTATGTGGGTGTTTGACATTTCTAAAAGAGAGTAGTGGAAATGCAGCTCCTATTGAATGTGGCCCTATAATGATCAATGCCGACGGTTAGCTCTCCTCGTTCTTCAGTTCGGTTAGCCTGCCCTACCAGCCTTCAGGGAGAAAATGATGATAAAGCTTAGAGAAAATTGGGAGTTATTTGCTTTCACAGCCCTAACAGGGAGTTATGACTATGTTTAGCTTATGATAAAAGAAATCTACAACTTAGACAGTTATAAAAGCAATTCCAGTGATGAGTTTATTACATTTATTATCTTTTTTTCCCTGCCTCTACTATATTTTTACTACAAAAAAAAAATAAAAAAATCAAGCATATTCTGAACAAAGACCTCAGCACGCATGCAACATTTGTGGCTGCCAGAGACTGAACATGTCTTGGAGCGTCTCCCAGATCTGAGTGAGACTTGGCTTCTGTTTTCCGGCACCAGAGAACCTCAAATCTGAGCGCTGATGTTGGTGTGAAAAAGGTCTGCTGCCCGTAGCTGGACTTGAGGTTGCGATTGCGGTCTGAATGTAGCATTTATGTCTGCAACAGAATGCAATGCTCTCAACTAGAGCTGGGCGATATGGCGATATATATCGTGAGGACGAGAGAAACATGTCTATCGTGACCTTTCTCCTCTATTTTTTCTATCGTGATAAACTTTTTTATTATTATTATTACTGCTAATATATATTTTAATATAATTTGTTAATATAACATTTTGCGTTTTTGCTATGCAAACTCTAAGTGTATATAACGAAAAAAAAAGAGAATAAAAAGATAATGTGTAGAGAACGTGGTTTTGCGGCTTTGCACCACACGTTTGCGACATTACTGACGGAGAGAGCCCGCGAAATTTCTTTCTGGCTTGAAAAAAAATGAATGATGGACACCCAAGAAGATGTTACCACAGCAGCGGTTACAGAGTCCAAAACGGTTGCCAGGTCACAGACACAACAAACACCACTTTTGCCCAAAAGGGGAGGCAGCTCGGTTGTTTGGTTATATTTCGGATTTCAGCCATCTGATAAAGAACAAACGCAGCCGATATGTAAACTGTGCAGCAAAGCCGTTCCAGCGGCTGATGCAAATACTTCCGGCCTCTTTTACCACCTGAAGAAAAATCATGAACAAGAACACGGGAAACTACAACCACTCCGATCAAAACAAACAAGGGATGAAAATACAGGAAGCACTAGAAAGAAATTCTCACAGCCGAAGCTTAAGGAAGCATTCGCCCAAGGATCACAATATGAGAAGACGTCTCAGCGACACAAGTAGATCACAGGTGCTATTTCACGCTATATCTGTAAATACACATTTCTTCTTAAATAGGCGAGGCGCCTCCTAGTGGAAAACAAGGTAAGTGAAAGACAAGAGAAAAACCTGGCCTTGGAATTTTATAAAATGTCAATAACAAACGAATATTAAATGATTAATTACTGCAGCGCAATAGCCAAGATTCTATACTGTTCACTGTCATGGCCGCAAATTGCATAACTGGTGTTCTTGGTTTGGGGTTGGGATTCTCATATTAGGAAACAAGATGATGGGTAAAAAATAGGCGATGAAAGATTTTTTTCAACCCTGTCCATCTGACGGAATATGAAAACATAAAATGCAACATCAGTTGTGGTATATCGTGATATATATCGTTATCGTGATATAAAATAATCCATATCGTGATATAGTTTTTTTTCCATATCGCCCAGCCCTACTCTCAACTGAAAACTCACTCATTGCGCAACATCTGATTGCACTTGTATGATTTATACCACCTTTCTTTTTCATTGAGTTTCCCCAGTGTGAAGTACCGCCGCGCAAACAAAGCATTCCCAACCTAACTTAGTAGGGACCGAACAGAAATACAAAGAGGGGTTCTTATTATGATGATTTGACAAAACCCTCTAAACACCATAGAGAGAGCAGAATCAATATTAACTAAGGCCCAAAAGATCTCATTAAACCCTCAATACCCCCTTGATGTTGATCCAATGGTTTGTCCTGGCTGCGCAAGCATTATGCTCACAAACTCTTCCCCCTTGGCCACGCCTCTTGTCCAAACAGGAAGAAGCTATTTCCTCAAACCAGGTAACTCAAAACAACAACAAAAACAAGGAGAAACATACCTAACAGCACATTTAAAAACTAGACAGTGGCATTATGTTCACACATGACAATATCAATGGATTACATTTCTGAAATATCTATGATTACCTGCAAAACAAATGAGGTGTGTGTGTGGACTGTTTTGTTAATGTGTGGCAAATGCCATCACAGCCAGTATAACATTAGATTTTTGTTTTTTAAACCTTGTGAGTAGAGCTTTTCATGATGAGGGAAGCAGCAAAAAAGCTTCTGCTGCTTTATGATTAATGCTTGTACACTTTAAGGTCAGACGCGTCCCAAGAGCAGCTTTGACGCTCCTGAAGGGCGTTCAATAAAGTGTGTCCAGCTGCGTCTGATGCTTCTGCTGCTCCTTTGTTCAATGGCAGAGAGCGGCTTTGCTATATTTGCTATTAAAAGTTGGTAAAATGCAGTTTTAATAAATTTAAAACTTGTAAATTAGCTGCTTCTGCTGCTTCTAGTGCGTGCCGTCTGAACATAGCATTGGTCCTTCATACTGAGCATCCAATCGGATAAAAAAAAAGATGACTTCAGTATAAAGAACAGAAGACTGTTCTTAGCTTTGATAAATTAATACATTTTTGCATTAACATTCCTAATTCAGTGCATAATTGCTGTTTAGGACTTCATCTCGGTCCACATATGTTTATTTTCAGTTGATCAGCTCTACAGGTAAAGCTCTATTATCATGCATTTCTCTTCTCCTTCCCCAGACAGCAGATCTGTCATCCACAACATTCCCTTTTAAATTCATATTTTTCATGTTTCTGTCACAACAAACCCAACAACAGAGAGGAAAGATGAAAAAAAAAAATTTTTTTTCCTCATGCACCTAATACCATAGAATGGCTAAGAGAGAATCAGCTCTCTGGTCAGATAACAGGAGGGAGCATTGATCTGTATCCGTTTCTAGTGAAAAGTGGAAAACTTTTAGTTGCACCTGGTTTGATTTTGTAAAATACTCCTCTTAAAGGAACACTTTTGCTATCCGATTGTTAATCGACTAATTAAAACAATTAACAGATTAATCCATTTGCAAAACAATATTTATTTGCAGCCATAGTATTCATGTTGACAATCTCCACATGGATGAAGCTCAGCATCAGAAACGAGATTCCAGGTTTAAAAGTGACATATTTCTAACAAAGAACAAGACATTGCTCTTTAAATACTACAAGAATTAATCTTACATTTGTTTCACAAAGCTTACAGCAGAGGTCAAGCACATAATGACTTTGCTTTCATTTCAGATTTTAACCCACACTGTGGACCTATCCTACTGCAAGGAACCAAGACCCCTGATAATAGAAATCCAGCTGTTGTTGAAGCATAACTTGGTTTTCCGATAAAATATCCTGATTAAAGTCTGCATTTAAGGATGTGTGGACTGGCAGGAGATTTTTTCAGTATTGATTCTTGTGGCTGTATAAATGCTATAAATAAAACTATACCAATTAGGTTAAATATAGCAAGAATATTTGCTCAGTTTTTAGTGTTTTTTATTATTGCACAAAAGGAAAAATTGTTCAGTTCATCATACAATAAATATAACAAGCTGAAATCATCTGATTCATTCATCTTCAATATTTACAAACAGCCAAATATCTCTTCTCATATGCAACAGGTAGAGGCTGGTTACATGGGGCTCCTTCGCTCTGGGATGGAGTCACTTAAGCACCTATTCAACATCTCATTAAAGCACCTTTTTAACAATTGGAAACAAAGGAATCCCCTCTATACTTTGCTTTGAGCCACTATGACTAAAAAGTAGTTTCTAATTGCAGTGATTATACATCAGGAGCATAGAAATAAAGCCGTTAGCTCTGAAGGTCATCATTGCTTTGTAAAGGCAAGCGGTCAAAGGAGGAAAGAGTTCACATTAATGATAAATCATGACTGAACAGGACAGATTATTGCTCAATAAAACTCCATGTAATTTTCAGTTACTTTGAGACTTTCTTGATTGCATAAAGTCATGTTTACCGCACTGGAAACATAATGAATGTTTGTTTAACCTCCTACACACCATCTT